GTGCATAAAAAGGAAGTAAAACAGACTACCACAAAAACGACCCCTGCGCAACCCCCTCATCCACCATCCACCCGCCCAACCCCTCCAAATCCAACCCGAACATAGCATCAGACGTCTACCAACCAACGAATCAGTAACCAGCAACCAACCCCTTCTCCCTCAAAAGAAACACAAGGGCACAGCGGAGGGTAAAGCGAAAACTCACCAAAAGATCCAAATCCCAATCCCCCATCGACCGCGCCCCCTCCCCCTCCCCCACCCCCTTTCTCCCAGCCTCAGATTCCCCAGCACTCTGATACCCTGTGTTCTCCCCCCGCGTATTCCCTCCAACAACACCACCTTCCCCCCCCTCAAGCGAGCGACAATCCCCCCCAAGAACATCCCCCAAAACGCCCAACGCCTCCTCCACCGCCCGCTCCGCCGCGCGCACCAACCACCCCCCCAGCTCCGCATCCGGCACGCGCCGCAGCACCGCCTCGACCTGCGCCTCGACCAGCGCCTGCAGCAGGTATCCCTTCATGTTGGTCTCGCCGCTGCGCAGACCCCGGCGGAGCCAGGGCTTGGCCTCGCGGGTGATGGTCAGGAGGTCGTGGCGGATGGGTTGGTGGGGGTAGCCATGCGACAATGGCCCGGCGGCGGCGAAGGACGCAGGAGCGGCGGAGCAGGCCTCGCGCAGCTGGGCGCGCAGCTCGAAGGCGGCGAGGTTGTAGGCTTGCATTGTGGTTTGCGTGTAGGGGCTGGAGGTGTTGGTTATGTATCTTGATAGGAGTTCGGAGTCGGGGTTGGGGGTATGGGTATGGGTATGGGTATGAGCATGGGTAAAAGAGGGGGAAGGGGAAGGGGTGGTGGCTGTGACGAGGTGGATGATGGCTGATGAGGGCCAGGCGGTGCACCAGACGCGGAGGGCGGTTTCGGTGAGGACTTTGCGGGTGTAGGCGTAGGTTTTTGGGTCGTGGAGGGCCGGGATGAAGTAGGGGATGTGGAGGGCGATGAAGTGGTGGTTGATTTGGAAGTCGAGGAGTTGCAGGGTGAACGGGGAGGGGGTGCGGGTCAGGGGTAGGGGTTTGTTGGCGGTGAGGGTGTGGAGGGTGTGGCACGTTTCTTGGTACGCCGTGCGCAGGTCCGCGTCGAGTCGGAGGGTGTCCTCGTAGGTGAGCTTCGTGTTGAGGTTGTTGAGGGCTTGCGTGATGGCTAGGCGCGCGGGGAAGGTCTTGCGGTACGCGATGGCGATGGAGGTCTGCGTGAATGTGTTGTCGGGCTGTGGGCCTGGGGGGTTGTCGGTGTCGGTGTCGTTGCTGGCTGTAGTGGTGGTGTTGGTGAGCTGGTCGTCGTCGTAGTTGCTGGGAGGCAGGGTGTCGAAGTCCTCCACGGAGAGGAGCGGCGGCCCGCCGGAGAGCATGCTCGACGCGACGGAGAGTTCGAGGACGGTGTTCCAGAGCCGGCGGCGCATCTCGGAGGCGAAGAGGGTGCGCTTGGGGAGGTGGTTCGGGTCGCGGTGCAGGCCGATGTGCATCGCCATGCGCAGGAGTGAGCCCGCCGGGATCCAGGTCAGGGTGCCGCCGATGCCTGTGGCTTCGCGCGCCAGAAGAACGAGGAGGTTGAGCTGGAGGAACTGCATGCTGAGGTGGGCTTTGTACTCTGGCTTCGCGAGCCAGGTCAGCGCCTCGTAGACCCAGGCCATCGCCGACGGACGGAGCGTGAAGTGTTCGTCGTAGGTGGCCGCTCCGATGGCAAAGACCAGTTTGAGCTGGATCACGAACGCAGGGTCCGGCGTGCTCTGGGCTGCCCAGAGAGCATCGTAGTCGCGACGGAAGGTAGGAATGTGCAGGATGCGGTGGATGGCTTCGCTGGTGCGCAGATAGCAGTCCACCAGCTGGTCAGCAACCTCTCTCCGGGGCAGTGGAGTGGCGGTCACTACAGGCCAGGAAGGTGTGCGTCTATCCTTGATGATCTTGCCGATGGCTTTACATTTCTGGACCTTGGTGAACGCCTGACTACCTTGGTCTCGCGCATGGGTTTCCAGGATTTGGAAGAGGCCCCAGAACTAGAATAGCATTAGGCAGAGGTCTAGATGAAATGAACGGGGCCACCTACCTCCGTCGCCATGCCGTTGATCCAGAAGCTCTGGCCGAATAGCCGCGACTTGTGCATGATACTACGAGTGATAGCTACGGCCGAGCTAGCAGCGTCTTTTTCATGCTGCAAATGGAACAGCCCAGTCATCGTGGAGCCTGCGGTTACGACCTCCGGGATTGGGGCAACTGGAGGCGGCTGGACCGCAGGCTTGGCTACGGTCTCAGCCAGTCGCTGTTCCAGCTGTCGGACCCTGTCTTTGAGGGCCTCCACATTCGGGTCCGACTGGGGACTGGCGACAGTCGAGGCTTTGGTTGAGGCGGTGGTATGTGCAGCGGAGTGGAGACTGGGCACAGAGGATTCCGTGCGGCTGGTATGTGGTGTCCCACCATTGGGGATTGTATATGGGGCTGTGTGACCGGTATGCGATGCACTCTCAGTGGGTATCGCATACGGGGCTGGTCTGGTGGGCGTGACGCCAAACGCCGGCTGCGAAGGCCGAGAAACGTCGGAATTATCATACTCGCAGGTAGCCTGATTCCCGGAGCGAGTACAGTGGCTACATGGCGCTTGACGATCACATTTGATCTTGCGGCGTCTGCACAGAGAGCACGAGCTGATGTGTTTGGATTGTCAGCGCGGGGTTAGGGAGACGAGGGGAATTCTCCGAGGGTAGCCTACACCGCTGGTCTTCGGCGTCGGCGGGCGGGTCCTATCATGCTGATCATCCGGAGGATCTAGATAAGAAGGGAGAGCTGTTGAGAGACAAGTGAAATGACAGATGTCCAAGAAAACAATGAAGGTGGTGGTTACAGCGGTGCACGGAGCTGTCAGAGTCATGCAGCGGGGATTGACACTCGGAGACAGCCAAATCCCCCGATCGCCGTCGGCGGAGATAGCGGGTCATGTGATCGTGTATGGCAAGGACGATAATGTGCGGCCCCAACAGCGATGTTTAACTTGTAGAACGTGGAATTCCTCTATCTCTACAACTGTGGGCTTTGATAAAAGTGCTTAATCACGTCTAGTCCCCTGTCAAGGACCCGATTCGGCTCTTAAGCTGGGTAGCTGCTGTAAAGACCGACGACAAGCAATATATGCCATGGTGCTGCTATTGCGCTGTGGGTTCAAGTGGACGCCCATTCTCCGACCGACAACCGAGTCCGCCCCGTCAGCCCTACGAGTATCTCCGCGCAAACTGGAAGCAAATTGTACTGTCCAAGTCATATATAAGGTAGTGAGAGCCATGGTATTGTCTTACCTGATGCGTCACACTACAAGACCTAAGATCAGCCTTTAATCACTTAACACAATTGTGCCACTCGAGTTCGCATCATGGGTCACACCGAATCCGCTGCAGCTTCTATGTCGGATGTGGAGAAAGCCGCGCCCACACCTGCGGAGCACGAGGCAGCCCCCGACGGCGGGAGCCAGGCCTGGCTCGTTGCGGCCGGAGGCGCATGCATCATGTTCTCCTGTCTGGGGTTTGCGAACTCGTTTGGCGTGTTCCAAGAATACTACGAGGCCAATCAGCTGCGCGTTGAGTCGTCCAGCAAGATCTCCTGGATCGGGTCGCTATGTACATTCCTCCAGTTCGCAGCCGGTGGACTAGGGGGTCCATTGTTCGATCGCTATGGCACGTGGGTGAGTGCTCTCCGATGCCCATTCCATTGGAAGTGCCCATCAACTCACTAGAAATATAGGTCATCCGGCCGGCGGCAGTCGTCTACATCTTCGCCATGATGATGACCAGTCTCTGCTCGGAATACTGGCAGTTCATGCTGGCGCAGGGCGTCCTTCTCGGCACGGCAATGGCCTTCCTCCAGCTGCCGGCTTTCGCCGCCGTGTCACAGTACTTTGACAAGAAGAAAGCCGCGGCCCTCGGGCTGATCGTGTCCGGCTCATCGATTGGGGGCGTGGTCTTCCCGATTGCGCTGTCCAAGATGCTGAACAGCTCGTCGCTCGGGTTTGGTTGGTCGGTGCGAGTGATGGGGTTCGTGGTCATACCCCTGATGGCGTTCGCGTGTACAGTGGTCAAGCCTCGCCTGCCCCCGCGCACGACCTCATTCTTCATCCCGGAGGCCTTCACGCAAGCCCGGTTCGATCTCATCATCGCCGCCTTCTTCTTCATGTTCATTGGGCTGTTCACCCCGCTGTTCTATCTCCCCACCTATGCAGTGACCCGGGGCATGGACGCCACGCTGGCCTCGTACTTACTGGCGATTCTCAACGCCGCGTCCACGTTCGGACGCATCATCCCCGGGATTCTCGCGGATAAATACGGGCGGTTGAACATGTTCGCCCTGGGAGGGATCGCCACGGGTGTGATCGGCCTCTGTATGACCAAGGCGGAATCCACGGCTGGGTTGGTGGTATACGCGGTGTTTATCGGGTTCGCATCGGGTACCATCATCTCGGGAGCGAGCGCGGCATTCACACTCTGCATGAAGGACGCCCGGGAAAGCGGGACGTATATGGGGATGGGCATCGCTACCAGCTCCGTCGCCGCCTTGATCGGGCCCCCCGTGATTGGAGCACTGTTCGATCATTACGGAGGGTTCCTGCAGGCGTCCATTTTCAGCGGCGTTCTGTCTTTGGTAGGCGGCTGCATCGCCTTTGCTGCAAAGGCTACCACACCAGTGGGTCTGCTGGGACGAGTATAGCTCTCCTGGATGGCAGATTTTGGATAGGTTTGCGTGTTGTGATGTGTTTGGCAGTCGTGACACAAGGGATGGAGCTGGCTTCATACATTGATTCGAGCGGCTTGCTCGGATTGAGTGAGGCTGACTTGTGGCACATCCTGGTGTACTTTTAGATATCTATAATCCCATGTCATTTTCACTTCTGCTTCTCGTGCATTTTTGCCCTTCATCCACGTCATTTGCGACTTAAGAAAAAGGTGACCATTCAATGGGCGAGGTGCATCGCTAGGGCCCGAAAAATGCCGAGCTGGGTTTTCGTGATGCGGCCGACGCTCGATGGCGTGAAAGATCAGTAAGATTGTACCACTTGCGCAGGTATGACGAGTCTGTCTTGGATGTCTGGAGGACAACCTCGCCTAATCGCCTACAATGGTGGTGCCATGTTGGGGTGACTCAAGTGAGGCGTGTCACAGACGATCGGGGACGAAGCGAATCTGCTTCTCCGAACCGAGGATGGTGAGAGGGCAGTGACCCACGAGAATGGGACCATATTGAGGTACCTACCGGTAATCGACAGCGGAGGTTCCATTGTCGCAGATCGTCGCCCCCCAATGATGGATGGACCCGTGACTGCCCCAATAGCCCAGAGGGGGCGCGTCTGGGCGGCTCCCGTAGCCGAAGGGGGGTTCGTTCTTGGCAATGTTCCAAAGGGGGAAATACAATGCAGCGTCCACCTGCACGGCCATTCCACTGCCTCATACATTCATTGCTATGTATGATCCCCAACTGGTAACGTTCTGGAAAGGGTGACTCAATCTGCGCCTGACGTGATGTTGAAGAGGCCGAAGTAATCCCTCGCTTCCAATCGCAAGTCTAGGCATCCGTCCATGCCGACAGAGTGATCTCGATGGAAGAATAACGAAAGAAGCCATGAGTGAATCAACGTTTGAGTCCCGTACCGGTAGAAAGGGTTCAAGGTTATGCCCAGGTGCAACTGCAAGGGACGAGCCAAGACTGGGCCAAGAAACAGGGTGGTTGGTCAGGGGATCCAAGGGCGGAACTATTTCAGAACGGAGTGGAATAGTGCACTTGAAGGATGAACCAGATGCTGTAAGGCTGTGTAGGTCGGTCGGCTTGGCTTGTTGATCGTCCTCCAGGCTCAAAATTGAGAACACTCTTCGTTTAGCATGGAGTGCGGATGCGATTCCGAACCCGTGCAGCAGTCGAAGTAGACGAGCTGGAGCCAAGCATCTGGGATGCATGGAAGCATAGTCCAGCTTGGTTTGATCGAAACTAAACCCAAGTCGGTAGCGGTTCCTCTGAAACCCGCTCCAAGAATCCAGGGATGTGAGCTGATTTGGGACCAGACCTTAGTGTGAAGTGCCAGAATTCATTGTTCATTGAGTTGGGGAGCCGAAGAGGGGGGGATATTGAGGGGGTGAGTGCCAGTGCTCCCCGCGTGATCACGAGACCTCCGCCCCCAAGGTTCTTGTTAGGTAAGGAATACCTCATCTGCGAGAGGGGTTGAGGGGGGATTCTGGGGTAGGACAAACCCAATTCCCTAGTTCCTACATGGCCAAACTCGAATCAACTTGAGTTTCCCTGGGTTGTGAAACATGATCAAACATGATATTTATTCCCCGCGTTGCTACGCTACCGAGTGTCTAGACCACTAGTCATAATAGTTGAGTACTATGTCAGACTAACTAAATAATAAGCCAAGCCCAGCTAGACCGTGCCACTAGTTGAATTAGTCGGTCGGTCGGCGGAGGAGTGCCGGACCGCCCGTTTGGGCCGGGTCACGGGGCTGCAGGAAGGCGGTTTTTCATTATGTCATAGAATGCAGCCAAACCCCGGTGGATGGCGCCATGACAAGTCATCAAATCACTGCATTCCATATTCTAATGGAAATTGATGCGATACGATCACCTGCGCATTGCGATGTCCATCAATGGCCAGGATCGCGTTCGCGTATCCTGAGGTACTGTATGTACACTGTGTACACACTGTGTACAGTCCATGAACTTGATAACCTGATCATCCTTTCCCCTCCCCTCCCGGAAGCGGCAAGTAGCTGAGTCAGCTTTAGTGAGGAAACGAAGGATTAGTGACAACCGACTAAATTATTCAATTAAAATAAACCCCCCCCCCCCCCCCCCCCCTAGTCGCGATCGATCCACGTCCCTACGGATGTCGGCGAATGAACAAGGCGAGAGCGAAAACCGGGAAGAAGATCCGTAAGCCTGGGAGATGCAGGATGATGCAGTGAGGTTGCACATCTGATTCATGATGATGGTGGTCCTGGTGGGCCAGTGGATGGTACCTTTTGATCTCCTCTTCCGGAGTGGGTATGGTACATGAACAGAGACATACTCAATACTTGTAGCATTTAGTCTAACAGGTAGTTCTCGTGTAATTGAGTATTTGGTACTCGGTACTTTGTGAACATCATCTGGACGACCGTTCTTTGTTCCTCTTGGATGGATGGAACCTTAAAAGCCCTCCGCTGTCCGATCCACGCTGATTTGCTTCTTTCCGGCTCCACTCACCACTGCTTGTCATTCTGCGCCAGAACCTTTTTTTTTTCTTTTTCTTTTTTTTCCTTCTTTGGATGGTTTTTCTTCGGGCCCTTTACAATTTGCCTTACTTAATAGAAACTTGACGTCGGTGTCTTGCCGCCTCATTACTTTTTTTTTTCCCTTTCCTTCCTTCTTTCCTTCTATTCTACGAGTCGATTATTTGCCATCTTCTCCAATCCACCACCCGTCCCACACCAACACTCCTGACTTCTCTTCAACCGAAGCAAACTCCTCTATTTGTTGTTTGTGAAGAACAAACTGTACATTCGTTGATACTCTATTTCCGCGCTGCGCTGTCGTCAGAGGGGATCGGCGATTTCATCAGCAGCTCTCCACTCGAGTGCATGATCCCAGTCCACTGCAATCTGTGACTAACAGTTTTCCGTTTACTCCGTCCGTCGACTTCAAACCACACAAACCACCTCCAACACTGTTGATTGCGTCTCCGCTCGCCCCTCTTAGTGCACTCTGCTGTCCAGGGGGTTTTGCTGGAATCCGGGGAAAGTGAGAGAAAAGGCCAAGGGAATTTAGAAAAAGGAAAAAAAGCTTTTCCTTTCCTCTGTTTCCTTCCCTTCTCTTTCCTCCGTCTTCCCTTTCCATCCCGCCGCCTCACCATTTCTACTCATTTGCTCAACTAACACAGCCGGCGCACACCACCACACCACACCACACACCACACACCACACAGAACACTCTTACCCTTACCCCTCTTCTTCCTTCATTCACTCATTCGCGGCGTCCTCATTCATTTGGGACTGGCCCTACTTCCATATAGAGCCTTTCCCCGTCCACAGTAATACCCGCCCATCATGTCTTCCGCCACCGTCCCAACCGCGATCGCGATTCCGAAGCAGACCTTCGTGAGATACACTTCCTCCGGAAACGCGTCGCCCTCCAACGGATCGCGCAGCACTTCTCCTCATTCTCCCTCGTGCTCGTCGTCGGCGGAACATTCGCGGTCTAGCAGCCGTCGCCGGGAGTCCTTTGGCTCTATCAAAGAAGACGTCGACGGTAGGTCTTCCCGGGTCGCGTGAGGCAGTTGAACCTCGACTAATACATCATAGGCATTGCGCAATCGTTCGTCGATACCCACATTGAACACTCCCCTCAGGAGACCGCTAAGCCTAACCCCTTAGAGATGCAGCCGACTCCCGACTTCTGCTGCCCCTGTGGTGGCTTTCTGGGATGGAAGCAGATCCGTTTGGGAGGCAAGAGCTTGAGTCGCAGCTACAGCGATCTTCGAGGGCTGAATCAACTGCACTCCCGCTGGGCCTGGGAGTCGACTTCCCCCGTGGCCGAACCCCCGAGTCAGACCCTGCAGGTTCCGGAAGAGAAGCAGGTTGTCGTGGAGGAAGAGCAGCCTAAGCCGGTCCCGGGAACCTCGCGCTTGGAGAAGGTCCCACCGGAGGTGCTTGGTAAGAGACTCCCCTCTCGTCTTAAACATGTAAACGTGCTAACAAGGACGATAGACCAGATCATCTCCCTCTTGGCGCTTGATGTACCCCCCAACGGATATACTCCCCGCAATGTGGATCTGATCTCATGCCTTCTGACCTCCAAGACTTTGCATGCGGCTACGCTTAGTGTGTTGTACAGGAACATGACTTTCCCCCACTCCATCATCTTTTCCAAGGCATTGAACCACATCTCCCTCTATCCGGCATTGGGCACTTTGGTGCGTCGTCTCGACTTCTCTCACTTTACTTCGGTGGGCTTGGGACGGACCAAGCAGATGAACTCGGAGATCCAGAACCTTACCTCCAAGACCCTGCTACAGTGCTTGGAATTGTTGCCCAACCTGCGCGAATGCTTGCTTCAGGAGCACGTGGAGGGGGATCTCAGCATGGAAGTTATCCGGAAGCTGTTTACGGGCCTTCCCAACCTGTCCGCTGTTGATTTCTGCGGCTGTTCTACTCAGTCTTTCTCCGGCCTCTTCCTCGAGGCGTTGACCTCGGGTCCTGGTCTCCCGGCTGCATTGCCTAACTTGCGACGGGTTTCGTTGCACGAATGCAGCAGCTTACCGTCGGTGGCGTTTGAGATTCTCCTCCCTCGCTTGGTCAATGTGACTCACTTGGATCTCACCCACACTCAGGTCGGCGAGGATGCGCTTTTCTCGATCCCTAAGACCGCCCAGATCACCCACCTCAGCCTGTCCCGGTGCAGTCGCCTGCGTGGTCCCAAGGTGGTGGAGTTCCTAACCACTCATCCTGCTGTCTGTGGCTCGCTGGTGTTCTTGAACCTTTTGACCGATCCTACGCGCTCCCGTCTCTTGGAGGAGGAAGACGTTTCGGCTCTTCTCCCACACTTGCCTTCCTCCCTCTGCTCCCTCAATTTGGGCGGTGCGAAGGTCACCCCCGCTCACACCAAAGCTCTGATCCCCCTGACTAAGCACTTGGAGGAGCTGGGGCTGAGCTCCTGTGAGCTGTCGGGTCAGGATCTGAACCAGTTTTTCGTTCCACCTCGGCCTGCCACTGGTGTTGAGAGTGCGCCTGCCACTCCCATCGACAGCCTTCCGCCCACCCCCCTTGAAGCCGTGCCACCACCTTTTGTTGAGGAATGGGTCCCGCATACCCTTCGTTACCTGGATCTCAACAAGGCGCCCCAGTTGACGATTGGAACCGTGTTCAACCCGAATGCTTGTGTCATCCTCTCGCAGCAGACCTATCCTCTGCAGGTCATCGAATTCAGTGACAAGCTGATTGCTCCTCTGCGGGAAAGAGCTCGAAATGCCAAAACGTCGCCCGGCTGGACGGTTCGTGAGCTGGGCCGTCGTGGCTGGTATGTTCGCGACCCTGCCTCTATGCCGAACTACGCTCTGGACGACGGTTCGCGCGACTGGAAGATGGGTGCCAGATGGTGGGGCATGAGGAAGATCCCTGTCGCCGTCGGAGAAGTCGGTGGCATCTACGGACACTACATGTTCAAGAAATAATTTTTCTGATTTCAAGGCTGTGTGGAACTCTCGACTCTTTGTCATGATCAGTTTTATACCCTGTTGAATGTTCGCATGGCGCATCTTTCGGATGATGATTTGACTTGATGATTTTGCAAGAGCGCCAAAAGTGTGGACAGTTTTATTGACGTGTTATCATTATCTCCATTTGCATAGCGAGTGCGATTCCTCAGCGTTAGGTATGTCTTGACGGTCTGATTACGGCTTGCGCTTATGATTGATATCCTGGTTGTTGCCTTTTCTTTATGGGATTTATTGTGTATGCTAGTCAGGCGATTTGGAGCATAGCGGTCAAGTTTGGCTTGGAGTTAGGCTTGATTCAAGTTCAATTTTTTTTAATGTATCATTTTTGCCCCAAGATTCTTCTCCACTTCTCAATTTTCTCAAGTAACAGTACCAACAAAGCCGCTGTCGCTACGGGTTACCTTGACAAACGGGAAATCCCCGGGCTGACCGAAAGCAGAACCCACCATCGGGAGAAACCGGAACCTGGCCGTAGCAGTCTTGCCCAATTCATCTGACCGGTAGCACAAATGCCAACACCCCTCTCTACCTTCAGAGAAACAAAATGTAACTGTCCCGGGCAGGGCAGTTTTTCTTCCAGGTTTTGGCCCTTCTGGATGTTTTCCAAAGTTATATTCTGCCGAAATCTCACTCCTGAACGTTTAGCCGTGCACCTGCCATACTGGGGACTTTAGGGGTAACCTTATTCCCAAAAATAACTTGTTTTTTCTGGACGGCGTGCCACATGGGATGATCGCATTGGATCTTGTGGGGGTGCAACCCGTGCAACGGTGCAAGAAAATCTATCTCCTGGTCGGGGTTATGGGTGGGGCCGCAGGGGCGGGGATTCGGTGATTGTCTTCAGGGATGGTTATTGGGCGGTAATTTAGGACATGGCTTGATACAACTTTACTGTTCTTGCTCCCAATCTTTGAATTATAAGCTATACTCCGCTTCAATTCTTATCCATGTTTATTTTTTGTTTATAGCTTTTGAAACTATATTATATCTATGATTTTGTCGATAGCTTAACCCACAGCTAAAATACAATCCGAGAATTGTTATTGAGAAGAAGTTTTCTACAAAGTTTAGTATTCTTACGAGTTTACATTTCGATATCATGTAGCGTTTCCCCCTCATACGCCCAAACCTCCTGCAAATCCACCTCGATCCTATCCGCAACGAGGAAGCCCTTGTGCCGGATCTTGCCGATCGTGCCTAGCACCCTATCCCGGGCGTGGTTCGCGGACGCATGGACTCCGGCCATCCGCACCGGGAAGAGCAGGAGCACCGCGGGGAGGTCCGTATCCGCGAGAAGCGGCCCGGACAGATCCAGGATGGCCGCGACGTGGTCGTCGACTTCCGTCTGCGTAAGCCGGGGCACGGTCCTCGTGGACCAGCATGGGTAGTAGAAGGTAAAGTTCATGCTGTGGTAGAGCAGCAGCGCGTGCATGAGGACGGCGGCCAATCGCGTGGAAGGCTGCGTCGCAAGCGGTCTCGACCTGCTTGTTGCTGCTTCCCGCTGCTGCCAATGAAGGAGTTCGTCTCTGATCGCGAGCCCGGCGCGAGCGAGGGCGTCTAATCCTGGATCTGAGGATCGACGGGCCGGATCAATGGCCTCGATCTCGTCGAACAGTCTAAACAGCAGCGTGAGAGTTGGAGCGTTAGCTGCTTCCAGAGAACAAAGACTTCGAGGAAGGGCGAACTTGCCGTTTCGCAAAGTCCGAGGTCTGGACCATGAGCCCGAGGATCTCCCTCCCCCTGGGGTCTGGCTGCGGCAGGAACGGCTGGTCTCCGGCTGGAGCAAGGGTGACCTTGTCGCCGTAGAGGATGGCTCTGTGGCTCTCGAGGGTTGCGAAGGCGTCAACCAAGCTCTTCGTGGGCCTGGAGAGCTCGCGTGCGGGCTCCAGCGCCCGCTCCAGCAGCGAAAGGACTCGAGACGTACCGAACAGCAGGTGCGTGGCGAAGGAGTCGCCGGAACTCTCGGCCATCAGCTGCGTTGGCACTGGGTCAGTAACTTTCATGCTGGGTTCTGTCCGCGCACGCAGCCGCAGCATACCTCAAAGAGCCCATGGAGAAACGTGCACCACGTCACGTCCTCCCGGTAACAGGCATCAGAGTTCCCGGTCGAGACCGAGACCGTCGTCGCGTGCCGCAGACTTCGAAGCGATCGTCCGCAGGCCCGGAACGCGATCTGCCGCGGAGACTCCGCCTGCTCGCCGAGGCACCATCGGATCGAGCCCTTTCTCCCCGCTTCCAGCGCGCCAATCGCCGTCGTGATGTACCGGAGCAAAGGGGATCGGCCAAGCACACTGATGATATCTGCCGTTGCGGCCGCGAACTCGTCGCTGAAGTGGCACCGCTGCAGGAAGGATGCGAAGTGATCCAGATATACACTGCCGTCTGGCCTCGGTACTTGGGGAGGCACGGTGGGATTGGCCGCATTCGAAGTATAGATGAACGTAACTTGGGCTTGCTTGAGCTGTTGTTGTCGTTGTTGCTGCGGCTGTGGCACACAAGGTTTCTGCAGCCAGAGGCATCGATCACATGGACGGCCCCCCTCACACTGTTTTGACCCTCTCGCATAAGTTTGTCTCTATGTCGGGAGAAGAAAATGGGTTGCTCGAACCTTTACCCGTCGGTTCGCACATGGCTGGCAGCGCGTGGTGATTCGGCGTTTGTCCAGCGGTCCAACCGGGCGTCGGGTCATTTTGGTTCAAGGGTCGTGTGCGTATCTTTTCGGCCATACTTTGAGGCTTGTTGGTCCAGGAGGAGGAAATCTTTGAAGTGGCTGCCATGTCTACTCAGGGGTTGGCTGGCCCTTTATATGACTTGCCCCATGCCTGATGCCTGTTCCGAAGAGAGTGGGCTGCAGTGGGGCCGGGGCTGAGTAGTGCCAAGGCTCGTATGGCTCCTACATTCGTCCAACAATTCAGGCAGTTTCATGTTCAGAATATCTTCTTTCGCTTGTGTATACTATAATTGCAGTAATCTCAGATAGAGAATTCAACATGAAATGATCTCAAATATGCCAGCCATCGTACAGGAAACACCGTACACCTAGGGTATCGGATGTAGTATCCGACTCCCGGTAGGGTAGGGACAGTGAAACAGACCACCTGCCGTCCTCAATCATTTATGATACCGCGACATAAGTGATTTAGACCCGACCTCAATGTTGAAGTACTCGGTGATAACCCTGGTCCGCAATCCCGGCGAAAAATAGTCATATCCGACCATGACATTGCAGTGGTTCACGTAAACCGTCACAGGGATAAGCCCCTGGTACATGATATCCCACTGATCCGGGCCAGATCTGTTAGCTTTTTTGATCTGCTCTGCGTCTATATTTACGTCTATGAATCAGAGAAGAGCCACTTACAGCTGCCACCATGTCCGTGTTGAACCGCCGCCGGACCAGTCCGCCAAACACCGCACCATAGGTGATGAGGATGTCCTCGGGGAACAGGGGGAAGTTCGAGTTGACGAATCCCTGCCACACCGTGGGGGTGTTGGACTGGGGATTATAGGCGGTCAAAATGTTGTCCACCAGACCGTCGTCGGTGGTGTTGGCGTAGTTGAACAGGGAGGAGGCCAGGCCACCATCGTACGCTTCGTCGACCTGGACGAAGTTCTGGGATGGCGAGTTCTTGATGAATCCGGTCGTGATGTGGGACAGGTTTTGGTTCCTGTTGCTTAGTCAGTGGGATAGTGGATAGAACGCTGGCATCTATGTTTCTGTGTGTGTTCGCCGCTTACCACTTGTGTTGAAGGAAGTTGGTCTGGTACTCTGCCTGGATCCGGGGCGGGTTGGGCTGCTGGAATCCAGCTGAGAACTCGATCACCGAGGAAGGGAAGGGATGGCAGCTTGCTGCGCTGACGGGCCACGCGCCAGCGGCAAGTATCACCAGGAGTTGGAAGAATTGCATGATTTTTTTGTTTGTTGTTGAAGTGATAGTCACGGTAAGAGACTTGTGAGAAGACAAATGGAAATGGTAGCTATCTAGGAAGACTTGGGACGGGGACAGTCGACGGCTTTGTACTTCCATGGGATACTTGGGACATGCTTGCGAGGGCTTCGCGCGCCCCGGCAAATACAGGTAGGTGCGCTCAATAGATACTGTTCTGGGATAGCGAGCCAGGCAACCGCCAAGGTTCGATGGCACATGCTACAGTGCACTCGCCTCCTCAATCATAGCCCAATCGACTATAGGCCATCAGTAGGTGCGTTCGATTATTGCCCGATCAAGGAAGTTGCCGGCCACTTCAGTGGGGCTGCAACCTGTGTAAAACAAATCGCAACGGCGAGACTATCGCCCGGATGGACTAAATCAGGAGTCAGGTCAAGTCTTCGAGCTTCCGGGTGTATGCTATGCTGGGATCTGCCAGACGACTTTCATAGTAGGGTGCAGGTGGGGCTTTTGATGCATGGATTCGACATCGGTGAATATGGCACTTAGCCCGTTTGGGCATAAACGCGCTCGAATGTTGCCCGAATTGGCACAGTCCCCATACACTTCAGGTTCCAAAGCTAACCTGAATTGTCCTGGTGTCCCTGCCGTAGTACGTAGGCTTCCCTGGCCGTGTGCGCGCGAAGTCTCTGCTCAGGTCATATCAGTATTACAAATACCTCCAAGGTTAGATATGTGCCTTACCTGTTCGGACTGCTGATAGCAAGCGAGAACTGACCCCAAGAAACATGACTCAAGCGACCTCCAAATCGTACATACTCTGTCTAGGATAAGAAGCCTCATACAATGACAGCTTTCCATGAGTAGCAGTTACCGTATGGCGGCGATAGACTTGGATGCACATTGCGACTGGTGTTCCTTGCGGTGATGTTTGTGGTCGGTTCTAGTCATGATTTTTTGCATCTGCACCGACCTTCTCATTATCTGATGAGTGTTTGTGTTCTTGTTTGGATTTACTTCTCCAGTAACATGCATGAGTAGTTTTTTTTAGAATAGATTAAAGACAATATTACTTAAAAATTCTTCGAGTCTCATAAAAATACATATACTTATGGAACGATGTTGAACTTTGCCTTCGAAATATGTCATTGAGCTCTGACGGAGGCGTGCCGCCATTCGCCACTCGGGACCTTGCAAGGAGTCAGTCATCTAGACTTCAACCTTAATAACACTCTCGGGCATCTGACTGTGCGAGGCTGAGAAACCGTACGGAATGTTCGAAGTTCGGGGAAGTGGGGAAGCCGGGCAGGGCCCGACGGGGAGGTTGGCGGGTCGCCGATTGCACTTCCATCGCCGATTGACGTCAGGCCGTCCACCTCGCCGAGCATACTTAAACACCATCTTCAACTGCATGCATTGTGTCAACACATTCAAGGGAATATTCGCCAATCACCATAAATATGAAGTTTCTACCATCTTTCAAACCTCGACTCACCAGTCGCATTGTGCACCAGCCAGCACGAAGGACGATCGTGAATCGAGTGCATCCATTGCCGTGTACCTCCTTCGCCTCAGCCAATCCAAGCAGCACACCACCCTGCAGCAAACGCTTCACCTCCACAGTAACAGCTACAGCAGCAGGTCCTAAGCTCCCCCAGCCCCCAACCTCAATGCAAAAAGAACAACACCAACCCGCCATGCCCCACACAACCCTGGCCAGCACCTCCCCCTCCACCCCAACCATCCACGCCCTCTTCGAGCCCCAAACCAGCACCTGGCAATACCTCGTCGTCGACCCCACCACCTCCACCGCCGCCATCATCGACCCGGTCCTGGACTACGACCCCACCACCCAGACCATCAGCACCACCACCGCCGATGCGTTGCTCGCCTTCATCGCGCAGAAGGGCTACACCATCTCGCACATCCTGGAAACGCACATCCACGCCGACCACCTCACCGCCGCCGCCTACCTGCAGTCCCGGCTACTCAAATCGCAAGCCACCTCCTCAGCTGCACAGACCAAGATCCCCATCTGCGCCGGCCACCGCATCCAACACGTCCAGACCCTCTTCGCGCAGCGCTACAGCATCCCGGAGGAAGAATACCGCCGCACCGCATTCGACAAACTCTTCCAGGACGACGAGCACTTCACCATCGGGACCCTGGACGCCGTCGCGCTGCATCTGCCGGGCCATACCCCGGACCATTTGGGGTATATGGTTGGTGGTATGTCCGTTTCCTTTCCCTAGTTTACTTCATCACAACTTTGTTATCAAATTGCAGCACCAGACGCTAACAACAGTGGTAGACAACATCTTCGCCGGCGACTCCCTCTTCAACCCGGATATCGGGACCGCGCGGTGCGACTTCCCCGGCGGGTCGGCGGAGAGTCTGTGGGCCTCCGGGCGGCGCGTGCTGGGGATGGCGCCAGAGACGAAAGTCTGGGCAGGACATGACTATCCGCCGGCGGGGCGGGCGGGGGTGGTGGTGCCGTTTGCGACGGTAGAGGAGCATCGACGGATGAACCAACATTTGAAAGACGGGGTGGGGAGGGAGGAGTTTCTGCGGGTGCGGCGGGAGCGGGATGCGGGGCTGGGGGAGCCCCGGCTGCTGCACGCTGCGTTGCAGGTGAATGTGCGCGGGGGGAGGTTGCCTGCGCCGGTGCAAGGCTCATCAGGGCTGAGGTTGTTGAGAGTCCCGGTGCGGGGGGTGGGTGAGTGGTAGTGCATCAGCATCGCATCGCATCGCATCGCATCGCATCGCATCGCATCGCATCGCATAGCATTCTGATGATTAAGTGTGTGTGTGTGTATATTGCACAGATTCAATTTCTATTTTTTTTTGGTTTCGGGTTACTCAGTATATTATCCAACTGACTGAACCCAACCCTAGAAAATCTACCCCAACCCCCACCCCTTCATATCCCCCTCCCTCGCCTCCACCACCCGCGCCGCCCTCCTCAACCACCGCAAATCACACACCCTGCGCGCCTCCGCCAGGAACGCCTCCTCGTAGTCCTCCCTGTCGACCCCGGCCCGCCGCGCCGCCCGACACCCCTGCACGTACACGTCGGCCACGTACAGCGCCCGCAGCGCCTCGAGGATGTACGCGTCGCGCGCCATCAGATCCTCGATCCCGTCGCGCGGGTCCGCGCCGCCCACCAGCGCCTCCACGGACCCCGGCAGGTGGTCGTAGAACCGGCCCAGGCGCGGCTTGTGGATCATCGGCACGCGCGCCCAGTACGCGGCGCAGTCCTCGCACGCCCGCGCCCAGCGGTCCGTGTCCATGCCGGTCGGGTTCGTGGTGAGGTCGTGCAGGTCCGCGAGGAAGACGGGGTAGCTGGGGGAGCCCATCGCGGTGCGGGTGCAGGTGAGGTGGTGGTGGAAGGTGGCGAGGTGGTGGAGGGCGCCGGTGGTGATCGGGCCGAGGGGGTAGAGGGGGAGGAAGGGCGGGGGGTGTTGGGGAGTGGTTGGCGG